TTTAAGCTTGAATTTTGCTATGAGAAGCTGATGATCAGAGCCACAATCAGCTCCAGGTCTTGTTTTTGCTGACTGTATAGAGCTTCTCCATCTTTGGCTGCAGAGAATATATCATCATCTGGTGATTTCCATGTATAGAGTTGCCTCTTGTGTTGTTGGAAAAGAGTGTTTGTGATGACCAGCTTCTTCTCTTGACAAAACTCTATTAGCCTTTGCCCTGCTTCATTCCGAACTCCAAGGGCAAGCTTAACTGTTGTTCCTTTTATCTCTTGGCTCCCTACTTTAGCATTCCAGTCCCCTAGAATGAGAAGAACATCTTTCTTTGGTGTCAGTTCTAGAAGGTGTTGTAAATCTTCATAAAATTGTTCAGTTTCAATGTCCTCAGCAATGGTGGTTGGTGCATAAACTTGGATTACTGTGATGTTGAACGGTCTGCCTTGGATTCGTATTGACATCATTCTATCATTTTTGAGAGTGTATCCCATTACAGCTTTTCCCACTCTTTTGTTGACTATGAGGGCTGCTCCATTCCTTCTACGGGATTCTTGCCCACAATAGTTGATATGATAATCATCTGAGCTGAATTCGCCCATTCCTGTCCATTTTAGTTCACTGATGCCCAGGATGTCGATGTTTATTCTTGCCATCTCCTGTTTGACCACCTCCAGCTTCCCAAGGTTCATAGATCTTACATTCCAGGTTCCTATGCAATATTTTTCTTTGCAGCATTGGACTTTCCTTTCACATCCAGGCACGTCCACAGCTGAGCGTCCTTTTGGCTTTGGCACAACCACTTCATTAGCCGTGGAGCTACTTGTACTTGTCCTCCGCTCTTCCTTAGTAGCATGTGGGACGCCTTTCGACCTGAGGGTCCCATCTTCCAGCATCATATCTTTTAGCCTTTTGTTTCTGATCACGGGGCGTTCTTGGCAAAGATACTGGAGTGGCATTGCCATTTCCTATTCCAGGTGGATTGCGTTTAGTCGGAACTCTTCACTATGTCCTGTCCCTCTTGGGTGTCCCTGCACAGCATAGCCCATAGCTTCTCTGAGTTACTCAAGCCCCTTTGCCACGACAAGGCAGCAATCTATGAAGGGGAAATAAATTGTAAGTAAATGTAAATATGTGGAACATGAAAGTGCTAATTCTGTTGCTGTATACCAGACCTGGGCAAAGTGCGGTCCGCGGGCCACATACGGCCCGAGAGCCACTCCTCTCCAGCCTGCTAGTCGTCGCTGCAGTCTGGCTCGCCCATCACCGCTCCTGTCTGGCCTGCCCGTCGCCACTGAGTGAGCCGGCTCCGGTCACCCAGCATGGCAGTAAGCAAAACTCGCAAGATCCGATGCTGAGATCTCGTGAGTTTTGACTGTTACTCTTGAGCCGCAGGCTGCAGAGCCTGCAGCTCAAGAGACCAGAAGCGATCCTTGTGCAGGCAACGTGATGATGCATCACGTCGCCTGTGTGGGATAGAAGACAGTCGGAGAGGCCACGGGGGAATGGAAGACAGGTGAGACAGCTCAGTGTCAGGTTTTTTTTTCTTATTTTATTTTATTTTATTTATTGAGCTTCTATGCTTCCCATTTAGACATAGTCTACTCTGGACGGCTCACAAAACACAGAATAAAAACAATTAATATGAAATAACAATTTTCAACATTTACACAAAACAGAGGAGATGGACAGAGAAAGTTACGTAGTGCCTGGAGGGAAGGCCTGCCTATATAACCAGGTCTTGAGTTGTTTTTTGTAAATGTCCAGCGAGGGGGCCAGGCGAATCTCAGAGGGGAGCGTGTTTCTTCCCCCCCTGCAAAAAGTTTAGAGAATTAACTATGTCAGCCTTGTAGTTTGTTCACCGCAGGGCCTCACCCAATGGGGGCCTATTACTACTCACAAATTGGGGGCCTATTACTACCCACCCCTGAACACAGTTCAGATTTTTCATGTGGCCCCCTATAGAAATTAATCGCCCACCCCTGCTGTATACCCTTCAAGCACCAGGAGCAAAGGGTAGGTGTGATGGGTGATGGGTGTCATGGCAAAGTTCCACCCAGTGATCAGCCTCTTATACCTATTTGACCTCTGCCAAGTGATCTTAAAAACAGTAGGCAGCAGTGCTCCCTTAATCGTTGGCAAGTACTTGCAAGCAGCTTGCCGTTTCAGTTTCCCACAATGTCCTGACATAGCTCTCAGCTGTCAGTCAGGAAATCTGAGTCTAGGGACACAGTTAGATGGGTCCCACTGGGAAACGTCAATCCCAGTTGGCTCCCATGAATGCTAGGTGTCCCTGCCTTACATGTACACTCTGGCCCATGTTCCCTTGGCCGTCTTCATGGTGAACTAAGTGGTGCTGTGTATGAACGTGGACACCTGTCAGTAATTTTAGATAAGTCGCTCTTGGATTTTGCATGGCTTTTGACTGACTACACAATTTTAAAACCCTATTTTTGCTTCATAAACCTGCTGCATAAACACTCGGATGCTCTCATGAATATGAAATTGTATCTTTGTTGCTAAGAACACAGGAGTGTTTATGTAACAGATATTTTGCGGGGGTATTATTTGTTCTTCATTAAAGCGTACTGTGACATGCATACTTTAGGTGACAGCAGAAAAGCAGTATGTGCATTAACGTCTTGGTTTTGTCCTAGGCTCGGGGGTCTGGTGGCGGCAGGAGAAGGAATGATGTTTCTTCCATGGATGACCACGATAAACCCTATGTTTGTGACAGTAAGTAGCACCCAGACCTTCAACTTTAGAAGCAATCAGTACATGATTTATTTCCAGAAAAACACAACAGCACATTTTCTGTTCAATGTTTTCCTTATCTGCCACTTCCATGTGCACTTGCTGTTGCTATTTTTGCATGGGTAACTGAAGACGAAACCCTGAGCTGCCTCAACCCACACTGCTTGCTGCTCTTATAGTTCGTCTCCTTTAATCTTCTGTTTTCATCTCTCTGCTTCTTTTGTGGCTTTCTGTGGCTTTGTCTGTCCCCCTACCCATCTCACGAGTCACTAATTACTTGGTTCAGGAGCAGCCAAACTAAATATTACCCAGGCAAATTAGTGTAACAGCCAGTGGTGACAACAGGGCAAAAAATGGGGTGGGGGGAGGTATAGCATAGGCAAAGTTTATTTTTAGGTGAACAAACACTGTCCTACGTATAAAGATCTACAAAAGAAAAATAATGGTTTATTTCATTCTAAACATGCTTTCTTTAAAGTAAATCACATAGATTAATTTAGATTTTTGGTTAAATTTAGGGATGTGCATGCATACACTCAGAGGTGCCTCAACAGATAGACATTTATACAAGCATATATGTATCTTTACATATAGAGGTTAAATCCCATGCATCTTAAGATGTAGGTGATAGTAAATGAAAGCTTATGCCAGAGGGAACAACCAGTTGTTTTGCAGCAACAAACTAACAAGTAACCCACCTGGAATTTTTTGCAGTGGAATATTACAGTCATGAAGAGGGCGTTATTCCTCTTTAAAAAAAAAATTAGCCAAGTGAATGGGGGGTTCACTTGGCTCTAAGGCATCTTGACACCCTTCCCCCAAACACTTCATAATAAGAGCAACAGCTGTGAAAATATGTTAGAATGGCAATTAATAGCTAAAATATGCTTAGATGATGTTTGAAATAAGTGGAATTTTAATTGAAATAATTAGTTATTCAACTTAAATACAAAATGAAAACCCCAAGTACCTCAAGTAGAGGAGCAAGAAGAACGAGCCTCTGCTGCTCTAGTTTAAGTTACAGGAAGGGAAATGATTTTTATTATAAAGGCCATGTAATGTTTTTTATAGAGTAGGTCCATTGAAGTAGTGGTGATTTGGTAGGTCAACTTGTCCATGAGTTGCACTGATTCAATGGGTCTTATTCCAGTTGTGAATTGCTATTGGGTTTTAGCCAAAGAATGCTTGTGTGTTGCCTGATTATGCTATCAATATGACAACAGGAAAAAACTTTTAAATTTAATTTTTAGAGTCTAACCATTTATGCATAACATGTTCAGATAAAAATACAGTCTTCTGCCTGCATGTCATGAACAAGGTTATTCATAGAATCAAAGAACAGTGAAATTGGAAGGGGCCTATAAGGCCATCAAATCCAACCCCCTGCTCAATGCAGAAATATCAAAGGATTGCCAGGTGGTTGTCTAAATTTCTCTTTAATGCCTCCAGTGTTGGGGCACTCACCACCTCTTGAGATTATTGGTTCCACTGTGGTACTGCCATTAGTATCCAAAAATCAGTAATACTGAGAGAAACTGACTCAAGAATATATCCAGTGCTTCAAATCTTCTCCTGTTCATAATGCCCAGATAAGGCCCGATATTGTCTTGCGATATCTTGTCTTGGCAGGACAAAGTTCCAAATAGAGTAGTCCTAGAACGAGCCAGAATTTTTAGGATGTATACATAATGTGCCATTTTTTCCCTATTGATACTGCAGGCATGATAATGAATGGAAATGTTGTGATTTGAATTGTAGGCAAAGTAGCATTATCCCACAATCATAAAGCAGAGGTTTTTCCGAAGGATTTAATTTCCTGGCTTTTTTAAAACAGAAGCTTAACAATACATACTATGCCCAAATTTCCAGTGGAAGAAATCATCCAGAAGTCTGGCCTGCAGTACCATAAATATAGAATTCATGGAAAGACACAGACAGTCGAGGCTACAACTCTACTAGGCAAGAATACTTTGGAATCTAGCCAATGCAATTACAATATAGGCCTTGCTATAGACAGAGGTGAATGGACAGTGGAGACAGAGAATGCTTTGGAGACAGCTGCTGTGGAATGAGGAGTTGTGGGCTCTTGATAACAGTAGCAAGTGCTGGAGCCATTGACAACAGTCAGGGTGTTGCTGTGTAGGTGCTGAGTTGCCCCCTCTCAATGGTCCATTTGGCTCATCTGCAATATGGGGGCAATAATGTTGGCCTCCTGGCAGGGGTTATGTTAAGAACTAGAATCATGTATGTGGAGGGCTCTCAGTGCTTGAATTCCTAAGTGTGATTATGCAGCAGTGAGGAATCTAGTTATGTGCAGTGCAACTTGACAGCTATCAAGTGTGCTTGACAGTGGTTGTGTTTAGTTTTCCAGCAATTATACATTTTTAAGTACTTTAAAGTACTTCCCCAAATGAAGCAAGCCTAGGCCTGCTACCTGTAATAACTTTCTGCCAAATTTGGTTTGGTTCCATAAACTTGTTAAAATGTTACAGTATTTGTTTCTATGCTGCCTGTCATTAGTCATGTCTGGTTGTTTTTCTGCACAGGGAAGATTCAGATCCTGTACAGAATTCAGCGCTGGTGCCAAGGGGTGTCTCATATAAAGAAATATTGTCAGAGTAGTATAACAAAGTACTGTATAACAAAACTATCCAAATCTGGAATGAGATGCACCGAGACTGCCTAGCAGTATTCTGCCAAATATAGTCGGAATATGACAGCAGACTCAAAAGTTGTATTTTTCTATTTGAAATGCAACTATCAGGAATGGCTTTCCCTCCCTTGTGTGGAAAAACTTCAAATCTTGCACAGAAAATTTCAAATCCTTTTTCTCCTGCTGTCCATCTTATATTATGAACCTCCTGTGGCTGACAAAGACATACACAGAGAAACATCAAGCTGTTATATGCATCTCCCATGTCACCTCTGCATTAGCATTAGAGTTACAGACAAAAGCATTCCCTGAGTACTTGTGTGTAAATAGTATGTTATACTATTTGGTGATTCCCTCTCTTAAAGCTAAACTAACCAAACAGATTATCCTACTATCTTTCCCCCACCTCTGAGCTGGACAGAACTATAATTTGTATTACGTGTTTTGTTATACAGTTCCAACTCCATGGGTTTATTCTGTGACACTTGCTGTGGAGAATGTAGTCTAAATAAAGTACTGTACTCAAAATGAGCTTACTCTTCACAGGGATTCCCATGTTTGGTATAATATTAGTTTTCCTTCTGCAGTGGCTCTGTTGAATGGTTTTTAATGAATTGTATTGTATTGATCCCCTGCCACTCCCCCCCCCCAAAAAAAAACATTAGGTTACAAATTAAGCATTTAAGATCTGTACATAATCAAGTCCTATTGTGTTAGAGTCAAGTGAACTTGCATTCTCTGACATGAGCTAGTGAAGAGGCAGGGAAGAAGTGAGGAAGAGCTGTCTTCTGCCTCCTCTTGTAGGAAACAGTCTCGATTGGTAGGGAATTTGCTGACATGAGCTAGTGAAGAGGCAGGGAAGCTGTCTTCTGCCTCCTCTTGTATGAAACAGTCTCGATTGGTAGGGAATTTCAATTGAATTGAAATCCTGTTTATGGAGCTACAGTGCATAAGGCTGATAATGTCCTCGGCCATTATGATTTTTCAGTAATAAAACATTGCTGATCTCCCCCCCCCCTCGAAAGGGCCGGAAGCTCACATGGTGATTACCTTTGCCATGGGGAAGCCATTGGGGGCCATGAGGCACAAGGAGGTCTTTGATTTTCATAATCACTGCTACTAAAATGACATTGATGTTCATGGGGTTGCTGCTGTCAACTTCTTCCTTCTCATGTTTGTTTCTCTGTCTGGTTAAGGATAGAGGAGATCTCTTTCCTTTGTTTTCAAGACATAAGGGGATAGCCATAGCCGCCTACATCTCTACCTTGTTAGCTAGAACTAAGATTCCTATTATCTACCTCAATATATTTCCCTAATAAACACTAGCTTTCTTAATTGTTTTAGAACAAGAATTGTGGATGTGATTTCTTTCTGAAGAGGGAAATGTGCTGAATAACAGAATACCATTCTGATATTCAGGGGCTGAATCAGCAAGTTAGCTTAAATGCTGCTTGCTCTGCTAACAAGTGTTCAGTGACTGCTTACTGAGAGCCCCCTTTTGTAATACCTATTCTATCCAGCTGGACTTGTCCTGCCAAGGCCAAAAATAGCATGCCATGCATGGCTTGGCTTCTATCTGTTTGTTTTTAATCTGACAGGCACTCTGTACAAACTAGCATTGCATCTTAGAGGGAAAAATAAAAAGGCTGAGGCTTTTTTTTTACAGTTTATGTATGGAGAAGTTTTCTCTTAAGAATTTGTAATGAGGCACGATAGTCCTTTGAAATTGCTTTAGGAAGAAGCCCGAGTATTTTATTGTTCTATCATTCCTCTGCTAAAAGGTAGGGAGGGTATGTATCTCTATACCTCTCGGACAATAACTGTCTTCCCATTATATACTGGACCTTGCTATACATATGGATTTAGCAATTATATAAAGATAGCCAGTGATATATATATGGTTATTTCAAAGTTGTAATGAGGGGGAGCTCCACACATGCATTCCTAAACCTGTTCCAACAGGTATTAATCACAGCCCTCAACTAGGGTTCGAGGCATAAGTCTTCTAAATCTGGGTAGTTAGCAATTCCTAGGCTGAATCTTGTCTTCATGTACAGCACTTTTTGCTCTAGATATTAGTTCAGTAGTCTGTATATCCTATTCCAAATTTAGTTCTGACATGTCATTTTCCACCTTTTTTTTAAGATTAAAAGAGACTTACTATACCGGTTGTGCACATGACCAGCCACAAAACCAACACATGTCAAAGCATCTCATCAGTTAGCCACAATTAGCCACAATAAGGCTGAAACTATACTCCCTACAAAAACCTGATTGCATTCCCCATAGTTTGGGGGTTTTACACAACCACCCAATTTTTCCATGCCAGTTGTGTACCTGTCTCTTCCCTATCGCCATTCATTAGCCTCCTTTGCTCCTCCATCAGCCCTTCATATGTTTGTCCCCACTGCATTGTCTTTATTTTTTTCTCCTTTGTGCCTCTGTTCACACATGCAGAAGACTGATTCCTTTTTTTAACCATCTTTAAAACTGATATTTGAATATTTGGATGTGTTATAATTTTACAGAATAGTTTTGCTGAAATATGGCTCCAAAGAGGAAAGATCAGAACTAAATTTGGGACTTTTTTTAAAAAAAGTTTTTCTGTAAAAACAAAAGAAATAGCTACAAGGGTTGTATTGAGAAAGGCTTACTTGTCCTATTAGTTTCAAGAGGATACAATTTTATGGAAATAAGACACAAAGCTGGACTCCATTAACAATGCAGCATATAGGTTTTGGCTGAAGTACCTTAGAACGTATTCTCATTCCATATTTTGTACTCATATATGAATTCTGTGGGAACAAATATGTGTAGCTCCTCTTAGTATTGTGAAAGATCCTTGTGAAATGTGTCATACACCATATTTAAATATTCAGATGCTTTCTTTTTTTGGCCGCCATACTTAATTTTATATGGTCCTTATAAGGGAAAAGAACATAATTCTATCCATATGCATCCACCATACTAGAAATGAGGTCAGGGCTTGGAAAATTTATTTTGAGAATACAATTCCCAGAATCAATAGCCACGAGAGGTTTTTGGAGTTGTATTCCAAGAACATCTTTAAGTTCTATATGAGATAGCGCTGAATGAAATACAAGTGTTTTGCTCAGGGATATCAGTAATGAATAATTATGGGTGATCATTCATTCATTCATTCATTCATTCATTCATTCATTCATTCATTCATTCATTCATGTTTTCTTATTTGGTTATTTAATTTATATGCTGCTTTTCTCCCAGGATTGGGATCCAAGGCAGTTTACAGGACAATTTAAAGCAACAGCAGATTAAAGTTTGATACAATGACATACGTTAAAACAGAATTAAATCCAGTTTTATGATTAAAATCCGAGGTTTGTGGAGGTTAGAGTCTACTTGGAAGACACTATCTCTGAGCTGGCTCTCTACATATGCTCAAAGTGTTATTGTTATTGTTATTGTTAATGTTATTGTTATTAAACTTTAAAAAATAAGAACCAGCACATCCTCTGGGATCTTACAACTATAGGCTCTTACTTCTCAAAGATATACTTAAATAAAAAAGTCTTTACCTGCCACTGGAATGAGAGCAGGGAAGGGGCAAAACTAGCTTTTTATGGGCACTGCCACTGAGAAGATTCTCAAATTAATTCCAATTTATGGCATCACTTCTTAGAGCTTTTTAGATATAAAGTTCTCAGAAGCTAAGTATAAAATACTTGGAATGGTTACCAGCCCCTCCTCCTGGGATGCTCTGGGACTGTGCAGCTTGTCCAAAGCCCCACAAGCTGGCTTTTCTGCCAGGAGGCGGGTGCTCCAACCCACTGAGCTACCTAGCTAGTTTCTGGGTATCAGTACCCAAGTACAAAATGTCTTTTTTAGCTCAGCCCTTTCTGTGAAGAGATAACTGTTCTTTGATGTGAAGAAATACAAACAAAAAGGGGCCTGGCAAAGGCAGTAGTGGTGAGGAAATGTGTGAGAACATTTTTGTCACAGTCATTGTATCATTCTCTGTCTACTGCTCTTTTGTATTACTTCTTTTCATAGTCTGTGGCAAGCGCTATAAGAACAGGCCAGGATTGAGCTACCATTATGCTCACACTCACCTTGCCAGCGAAGAAGGGGACGATGCTCAGGAGCAGGAGACACGCTCACCACCTGTCCACAGAAATGAAAATCACAAACGTGAGTAGAATATGGGTTTCCCCCTCCGCCTCCCCCCACCATACTTCCATGATGGAATTACCCAGTTTCCCTTCGGATGTTTCTCTGCTATCTTCATCCTTGTGTTTCAGCAGTGTGGTTACAATTACTTTCCTCCTCTGTGAATTATTGGAACCTAGGCTTTTAGTGAAGCTAATCAACTGCAGCTTTCCCAGTTGCTGAGCTCAGCTTGTCAAAAGCACAGCTCAAGCCTCACATTAACTCTGCAGCAGGTCAGTTTCCATCATGGCTCCCGTGGGGAGGACATGTCGAGGGAAGACAAGGGGATGAGGGAACCCAATCTACCCTTGTCAAGCAATTTCATGATGGTTACCTTTGAGAACAACAAAACATACACCCCCTTCCTTTTCCCTTACTTTCTTTTTCCCCTTATTTATTTATACTTGTATTGTAAAATTCACACGTTTGTTGTGCGAAATTCATCTTTCTAAATCCTTGCCTGACAATGTGATATGATTTCTGCAAGTATCAGGGGAGGAGGGACGAGACAAGGGCCTAAGCTAAAGCTTAGCTTAGATCTGTCCCCAAGGAGGAGATCTAATAACATTTCCTAGTGCAGAAAACCTATTGATGTCCAGAGAGGTAATGGTGCTCCATTCTTCTCCTTTTGAAAGTAGAAGGCTAGTTATTGAGTGATGTACTACTATTGCTACTACTGTCATCAATGAAGAGGTTGGAGAGATGCCTAATCCATATCCTTTAATTAATAAAGACGCTTCCTTTAGAGGTGTAAAGTTATAGACCGCTTATGAGTACTTTTCATTAAGCATTGTGCAGCCCTCTTATGGGGGAAATGCTACAATAACACAAACAGATGTCTAGAATTTATTGGAAGCAGTATGGAAGTGGTCCTGAAAATAAAATAAAAATCTTTGCTAAAGTAAAGCTGTGTATTATTAATGTTAGGAATAAATGAAGAAGCATCAGGGTGAATTCCATTTCAAAGCAGCACAAACCATCATCGGTACTTACTGAATACCAAGCTTTAGCTTCTTGTGAAACATTTATTGATTTTTTAAAGAGACAAAGTACTATACAATACTAGGTTCAAGTAACCAAGACTCCTTTGACGGTAGAAGTATAAGAGGAATCTAGATGAATTAGAGCTGGTGGGCTGTCAGTTTATTTTCAGACATAACATATGCATGTTTATTTACATATTGTTAGGACTTTTATTAAAAGCATATCAAAACATACCTACTGAAACTATTAGCATGTTATAATCAAACTACAAACACAAGAAACTCTATGAAATAGACAGTTTCAATCAGCCAAATAATTAAATAGCAATGAAATTTATCAGGTTTTTAAAATAATATTCACTTTCCTTATCAAATTACTCAAATGAATTTGTGGCATAGATCCTTTAAGAGAAATGCATCATATCAAAGTATCTATTTATATGGAAATTCTAACTGCTCCTCCCATATTAAACAGAATACACGTGCCATGCAGCTCATTCTCCCTCTCCTAGTTGTAGTTAGACCACTCCAATCATCTCCCCTTTTTGCCTTCTTCTGCTCTAAGACTTATGTCTTTCTTTAGAGCTACCAAAGTATTTTCTCAATTGCTCCTGCCACACTCTCAGAGATGGGCATGACTGCATGCTTAGAGTGGTACCTGACTGCATATTTCTTTTTTTGTCTGCATATTGTCAGCTATAACACAAAATAACAAAATGCATTGGTATCTATGAGGCATATGGAACTGGGGCATCTGAAGCTAGCTGTCCTTGTAATATGTGGCACCGCATATGCTGTAGGCAGAATGACTTTGAGGGAAGCTGCTTGTCTTTCACCCTCCCTCACCCTTAGGCTCAGCAGTGGCTTAACACCATGTTAATTCTTTAACATTTGTTAATTGCTTCAAGATTAAGATATTTAGTCAGGAAGAGTTTCTTGTTTAGCTTTTGAAAAGAGTGGCAGCTTCTCAGAGTTGAAGAGAAGTGGCAGAAATATTAGGTACTGGGAGTCCTTGCAGCCTACCAATTGTTGAGATGGGAGCTGAGGATGTTAAAATGACAGTAAATAACCCCACTTGAGTTGCTTCTGGAGGACAGCTAGCCCACGAGTGGACATTTTGCCATTGCACTACTCAGCACAGCTAGTGGTGAAGATTTCTGGGAGATGAAGTCCAATAACACCTGGGTTACGCAAAGTTAGGAACCACTGCTCTAATGTGTTTGCAGGAAATATGTAATCTAACTGACCATAGAGAACAGACCAGGCAAGAAACAAAACAAATCAGAAGCCAAAACAAACAAATAAAAATAAAGAAGACAAAACATCTTAAAGACTAGGTGTATATTTTAATATGAGCTTTGTGGACAAGTCCATTTCCTCAGAGAAGTTCTTCAAAATAGGACCAGAATTGCCTATTGTATCCCAGTGTATGTTAGCTGAATGCAAGGACAATCACAAACTGATCTTTCTAAGCTTCTTTAAGACCCCTTCCCCCTCCCCACTGCATCTAACTGAAGAATGAGATGGAGTTGCTTTAAATAAATAAAAAGCTATAAAGCAGTGTTTTCCAACTTGGGGGTTGGGAGCCGCAAGGGAGTTGCAAAGTGTTTACGGGGGGGCATGCGTTGTGGGACACCTTTGTCATATGTGGTAGCCCTTGTTAAATAATTTCTTCCATGACCTTTTAGAGTGGGATATTAAAGTTAGTGCGTATGTGTTTGTATGAGAAACAGCCCCTTTGGTGGGGAGAAAGAATGATCTACAGTGGGGTCTTGACTTGAGAACTTAATCCGTATTGGAAGGCGGTTCTCAAGTCAAAAAGTTCTCAGGTCAAATCTGCATTTCCCATAGGAATGCATTGAAAACCATTTGATCCGTATCTGCTCTTTTCCGTCCATAGAAACTAATGGGAAGCTGCTATTCTGCCTTCGACCACTAGAGGGGGATATTTTGTTTCTTTTTTTCTTCGGTCAAGAAAGGTTCAGGGAAGGCAGGGAAAATACAGTCCAGGCAGTACAGTACCAGGCAGTCTGAAGACTGTCTCCCAATCCACTCTCTAAACGCTGGGAGGAGTGAGGAAGCAGACAGGCACCCTTTTCACTGGCCAACAGTTAACTGAAAGTTCACTTTTTGCACTTTCCCTGCCTCCCACGTGGGTTTTTTCAGTTCTTAACTCAAATCTAAGTATGTAAGTCAAGTCAATATTTTCCTATGAGAGTGGTTCTTAAGTCAAAATATTCTTAACTCAAGCCGTTCTTAAGTCAAGACCCCACTGTATTTTCTGAGAAGCAATGACTTTTACTCATTTAAAATAACTTTTTATGCAAACACAAATGTGATGGTGGGAAAATAACTTGGCTATTATAAAAGGGGGTCGCAACTCAAAAAAGGTTGGGAATAACTGCTATAAAGGCTACTGATAGTGGGAAATGTTACTTTATAAAGCTACAACTCCTGGAACACCACAACTGGCATGTTCACAGATGAAAAAGCCTTCCCTTTGGTGACCACAGATCTCACCTCACCTGCTGGTGTTGATGTGGGAGGACACCTCTGTCATATGTGCAAGTGCAAGGGCTTCAGGGGTAAATTATTCAGGAACTGTGCTTAGGAAAGGCCTGTTTCGCTTAGAACAACAAACTAGACAAGTTTGGATTAACCTGTGATTTGACAACAGGGTTTTGGCCGCCTTCTGCACTTCTCACCTGATCATTTCCCACTGAGGCCATATGCCACTGTGAATGCCTAACTGGGTAAGAAGTGATTAAGATGGAGTGGGCTGGTAGCCACAGTCTGTTCTCCCAGTTTATGCAGCAGGTGACTTTTTAAGAACTGGCAAAAAAGCATGAGCTGGGATTTAGATTTTCCATTAATGTGCTCAGCTGACTATCGCTCAGCCCTTGTTGTCCCTCTTTAGATGTTTGTTTGCAGCCTGGAGCCCAGTTCTCAAACCTCCTCTCTTTCTCTTGAGAGCATTTAATTCATGCTGCTATCCATCTCCTATGTGAATGCAAATTGTATTGCTGACCCACAGTCTTTAACTGGTGCTCAAGATATATATATATATATATAGGAATGGTGAAGCAGGGAAAACCAGAACTATATATATATATAGGAATGATGAAGCAGGGAAAACCAGAGCTATAGGCTCATCCACTCCCTTAAGTATTGCCAGGCACGTGTTACGAATCAGATTTGACAGGCCAGCAATGTCACAAGGTCTGGACTTGAAGAATCCTCTGTGTGAGTTTTTGGAAGGGAAGGAAAATCGGGCAGCGGGGAGGGGGATGTTAATCCATACAGCTAATCCGTAGCCTTCTGAAATGGATGAAAAGGCCAGAAGTGCCACAAATAGCAGACAGTGTTTATTTCCTTAGCTGCATGGGACATAAATGCACACGGCCCTATTTAACAAAGGGAAAACAAACCCAGAGTGTGGCATTAGGTGGGGGAGGGGAAGTGGCAGACATCTTGCTGCTGCTGGAGTGTTGTGGCTTTCCTGGCTTATTCCCTTCCCTTCTGGTGTCTCCTCACAGCAGTGTCTGTGGTAAATAACAGGTCTGCTGGGGATGAATCGGCTCAAGCCAGGTACTGATTTGCTGCCGAGGCAGGCCTGACAGCTAATAGCATTTGTTCTTCCTTTTGTCTTGACTCAGGCCCTGGCCCTTCCTCCGGCCATTTTGTTTGGCTAAAACTATATTTGCCAGGGAATACGGTATAGGAAAAACATTTGTTGCAGGATCCTAATTTAAACTGGCTGGTCTCCAATGGTTCTGTAGCATAAACAAACAAAACCCCGAAACAACAACAGCAGACTCTACATGGAATATTCAGTTTTGCTCTTCTATGATTGTTTCCTTTGAGGTGGGCTTCATTCTCCTGCTTCATGTTGCCCAGCTCACTGACGTATAAATTTGATTTTTCAGAGCAGTACAACTTTATCTCCCCTTTACCATGCAAAACCCATTGTTATTTCATATCATTGATGGAGAGAGCCTA